AGAATAGGATTGCTTGTGGCAGATGTGATTTCACTTGCTCCAATGGTTTCGCTCTCATGGAACATGCTAAAATACATGATACGTGAGTCTATTTGCAAGCTGGCATCTCTATTCTCGTTTTACCATGGACATATTTCAGAACTGTTGCAAAACAAAACCTACGGGAGATCAAAAGGTAAATCCACTAAAAAAATTTCGTTCAAAATACATTCAGTCAATTTTAGAGACCTTCCAATCGTGTGCCCATATTGTAAACGAATGCTTTTATGTTCTGCACGTTTTTCGCATCGTGTCACGCTTCTTGCACATTTTGTAAAATTCCACAGATTGAGCCCAGAAGACGTTCAAGACTTCACCAGTAAATGGTGCGTCCAACGACACTTCTGTTACTGAAAGTACTCCGCGTTTTTTAGCGCCACATGGAACCTAACACGAGAGTTTCCTTACATCGATCCTGCTTTGTCGATAAAGCTTGGCAAACTTCAGTGTGCCATTTGCGAAGCATCGCTTCCGGACACTGCTCAGATTTTGAAGCATGCGACAATCGTGCATGAGGGGTGAGGTTTTGCTTTTATTGTTACCTGTGTTTCTAGCGTGAATTATCTTCACTAAAGATTCTTTTCTTTTTACAGCTATAAACCCAACTCTGCTGCCGAAGAGTTGGTTATGGAAGCTGGCTCAAGTGACATGACCTTAGAATGGGCTGGCAGTACAGCTGAAGTACAACATCCTGTTCGCTCGACTAGGTTTGTTCTACTTAAACCTCTTTTTGTTTTGAATCTGCTCAATTGACTTGTTCTTGTGTACTTTTGAGACTCCATGTTCCAGCTTCGAGACGTTCAGCGATGAGAAGATTTTCAGCAAGTTTTCACAAACAAGTGAAGTAACTGTCAGTGCAAGTGCGCCACTGGAATGCACCTCTCAAGAGGCTGCGTCTGGTGTAAACATTGATTTCACTCATTCTGCTGAGGGAAAAGATGAAGCATTATTCACTGTTGTTACTCCAAAGAAAGAGCTACTGTCAAGTTCAGGACGACGGCTGTCGCGGAGTTACGGTATGCTTGCAGGTGAAATATCCACATTTTAGTACCTTCATTATATTTAGCACCAATGAACGATCGTGTGCCACAACTGCCATCGTCCTCTGATGATGAAGTTATCCGAGAAGGTGGCAAAAGCGCAATCACTAGTACTGAAAATCTGAATTCGCAAGGTGAGGCTCGCGATGAGCAAGAAAATTATGAGGAAGCAGCATGTACGTCGAAGCGGGAAGGTTAGTTGTGGAGCTCAAACGCTAGGGTTAGATGCCTGTAGTACGTCTTCTTTCACAGTTTCCTCTCCCCCTCTCCATTTCCCCTCTCGCAACCCATCCCCCACACATTTATTGAATTTCCGATAGTTCAGCGTCTAG